TCTCAACACTGCGCCACCGGCGGAAGTTGGTCCATTACCACCGCGGTGGTAAAAATCTGCCACCGTCACAGCCCTATTCACATGAACATAACACCCTCGCTTTATCAAATTTAGTAATAATTAAATATCTTGCCTTCTCTAAAGATGAAACAAGCGCCTACTGGATGAATGAGACACTGACGAGGAGGCCACCACACCCCTAAAATAATTAGCCACAAGCGTCTCTCATACAACCACGATTGTGTTCATGATTTGTTCAGCTTCTAACCAAGTCCTCTAGGACAAAGACAAAACCACCCACTGCAGGCACCGTGGCATCATGAAACACCCAGACCCCAGAGAAAAATCCTCTCAAGCTGTGACTCATCCAGAAGATGTAAGTGTGGCGAGGGGGGCGTGGTTTAGCGGGGTCTGCAGCGGGAGAGAGCGGTCGGAGACCAGCGGTGAGTAAGTAGGGCAAGTGCATAATGACATTCACCTGCTTCTCATTACAGTTATGGCTGATTTCTGGGGACACTGTGGAGTTGTGGGTGAGTTTTGGTCTGCTTCAGGCCTGGTTCTGGCATTCTTTAGGCAAGCAGCTTAAGGGCCATTCGAGGGGAGTGGGCCGTGGAGGTATGTGGGCCACAACAACAGCCTAAATTCAACCAGATAAGGCCCACAACCAATTTGCTATCTGGGATGTATTACACTTATATGTACAATCAAAAATAACAGAGCATTATAAGTTCTTTTTGATGTTATCAGGAAAATTTGTAAAAAGTGATGGCACCGGCAGCTGTCGACCCCAGGAGGTTAAAGATTAAGTGAACGTTTGAATTGAATGTCATTTGGGCAATATTAAACAAGGGTTGATCTGCTGGAAAGTGTAACAACACTCGGCCACTGGCGCCCTCTGCAGACAATCGTTATAATGCATAAAGTACATAAAATGATTGTTTATATTTTAAAGGCTTAAGTCTTTGCTTAGGTCTATTTTTTATTACCACACACGCAAAATCTGGTTACTCAATTAATTTGACTAGTGTGCCTGGAAATAAAGCCCCGATTTGATAAAGTGCTTTGATAAAGATCAATTATAGACAGTTAATCACTCACATTTCACTCATGGTTTGCTTTTTGCAAAATGAATGTATTTGCCAGATACTCCTGTATCATGAAGTGATAGAAAGGAATAATTTTCATTGTTGTGGCTATTTATTATTTTTCCTCATTTATTTGGTGACGTCAGTGATTTTGTCACGAGTTGTGTGTAAATAGTACATGGTGGAGGAAATAATACTAAAATAATTAGTCAATGCGTTCCCCCGAGAAAGCCTGCAAACATCTGAAATGGTTTGCGATCGAATGTAAAGTTTCTTGGGGAAACATTTGCAAGAGAACAAAAAACATTCACTTATAATTTTCCCTCCCACCTAGTATTTTTCCTCCGTAAAATAGAGATAAAGAGATGCATGACCGAAGAAACCGACCTGTTTGTTCCTCAGTATCTTCATGTTTGACTCTGAATGTTTCTTCAATCTTCATGTCTTCACTCTCCTCTTTAATAAACTCCATCTTTATAATAGTGTGTCTCTCAGTCGCTTCAGCAGCAGTTTTTCTGTGTTTAAGATCAGAATAATTAACAGAAAGATAATAAACCCAAACTAGATCTCTGGGGTGTCTCAATCAGCTCCCTAGTTCAGTAGTCAGCACACTATTTAAGATCAGAATAATTAACAGAAAGATAATAAACCCAATCTAGATCTCTGGGGTGTCTCAATCAGCTCCCTAGTTCAGTAGTCAGCACACTAGTAAGGGAGTCAGTCAGAGTGAGAGTTAATGCAGTTATTACCTAAACAGCGTGTTTCTGATGAACTGCTTCACTAGATAGGGAGCGAAATCAGAGGCATCTTTTTGTGTGACTCATGAGTGGATGCGCTTTACTCACACAACAACAACAACAACAACAACAAACTGTCCATTAACGTTATTAGAAACATTATAACGTTACATTCAAAAATAATTAATCAATGTATAGGTACTCTATCAAACTTTATGAACGGGTTGTACTGATTTAAACGCTTTAAAAGATGAAAAACACAAACCTTTTTCTTCAGCAGAATCGCGCAGCGCCGCCTTATGACGTCACGCCGCCTCGCCAAAATAAAAGTCCTGTTCAGACATTCACATCCAGAAAACACGTTCAAATGATCAGATAAAGGGTTGTTTCAAAGCATAAATCACAGATTCCCAAAGCTATTAATACCACTGTGCATTTTTCACAAGGTTGGCTTATTTCAAAATATAATAATATAGATGTACTCAAGTATCTTGATCTTCATATTACAAAGGATAGTAAAGAACTGTTGAATATTTCAAACTTATTAAGAATTTGTTGTTAAAAATTAAGTTTGTGGTTGCAGAAAGATCTACTAACTAAAATTGAATCATTATCATGGTGTATATATAAATCTTATTTCATCTCAGTTTCTCCACAGAATATATAAGAGCAATAATTAAAATAAATTTACGTTTAGTCATTTAATCAAAGCAACTTACAAATGAGAACAATAGAAGCAATCAGACCAACAAGAGAGCAAAAGGTGCTGTGACGAGGCTCAGTTAGTCTACACGGTACACATAGCAAGGGTTATTTATTTATTTATTTTATATAAATTATTTAGAAAAAAACAAATCAAATCTCTCCTGCTTTCTATAGGGTTTTTTAAAAGATGGGTTCCAAATTAACTCTGGTGCGGTTCGAATGAAATATGACTGCAACACAGACCAAATACTTCTTAACTAACCAAAAGCAGGAAGTAATGACAAGATGCAACGCTATGCGATTTGACGACGCGGTGTAACCAAAACAAAATGAGCAGAGGGCAAACGTGGAGCAACGATGAGGTAACGTGCCTTTTATGAGCTCCTTGTGAGTTTGCAGGTGGTGAAAAAGCAATCAGACCAACAAGAGAGCAAAAGGTGCTGTGACGAGGCTCGGTTAGTCTACATGGTACACATAGCAAGGGTTATTTATTTATTTATTTTATATAAATCTCTCCTGCTTTCTATAGGGTTTTTTAAAAGATGGGTTCCAAATTAACTCTGGTGCGGTTCGAATGAAATATGACTGCAACACAGACCAAATACTTCTTAACTAACCAAAAGCAGGAAGTAATGACAAGATGCAACGCTATGCGATTTGACGACGCGGTGTAACCAAAACAAAATGAGCAGAGGGCAAACGTGGAGCAACGATGAGGTAACGTGCCTTTTATGAGCTCCTTGTGAGTTTGCAGGTGGTGAAAATAAAATTATATGTACACGCAAGACTGCAGTGTAAGAGTTGTCAATTTCACATAGCTAATATTTTCTGGTGTGAACTCTGGGTGTATTCTCTCCTGTGTGAATTCTCAAGTGAGTCTTAAGGTTTCCGTTTTGTGAGAAGCTCTTTCCACACTGATGATATGTGAACGGCTTCTTTCCAGTGTGACTGTTCATGTGACACTTAAGGTTTACTTCTGTTGTGAAGCTCTTTCCACACTGATCACATGAGAACAGCTTCTCTCCAGTGTGACTGCTCATTCAGTTCTTGACTCTCATCTTTCAGCACCATTAGATCTAATTAAAAAAAGACAAATTAAGCCGAGTTTAATGGCACAAAGCAACAAACATCCATGTTAGATCTGATACACACTGAAAGATTTCTCATCTCATAATTTGTAATCTCAGAATCTCTTCTTCGTATTGTTAACTGTTCCCTTTTTTAGAACATATAAAAAAAATTAAAAAAAGTGGTGTAGTCCATGAAAGCTAGGAGTTATTAAATACCTTATCACTTGACCCAGGAGACCTGCTTTATTATAGACCAGGGTTCCTCAAATCCAGCCCTGAAAGGCCAGTGCCCTGCAAATTTTAGTTCCACACCTGGACAAACTAATCAAGGTCTTCAGAGTTACTAGAAAATTGCAGGTAAGTGAGTTTGATCAGGGTTTGAACTAAACTCTGCAGGACAGTGGCCCTCCAGGGCTGGATTTGAGGAACTCTGTTATAGACCCATCCCAAATTTGTCATTCCTGCCTAAACTATTAGAAAAATAACGTCCTCTCACCATGCTCAGTTTGGCAGAAAACAGTTAGGATTTAAGCCTCAATGCAGCACTTTAAACATTACTTACACGAGTTACATCTTTCTTCTTGTGGTATTAGACCTTTCATCAACATAGACCACAACATTCTCTTGAATAGCTTGAGAATTATGTTGGTGTTTGTGGACGAGAATTATCTTGGTTTAGGTCCTGTCGGATTGCTACCATTGGAGAGGTGTCTCATCAAACACAAGTATGGTGTGCCACAGGGCTCAGTATTAGGTCCTCTGCTTTTCTCATTGTTTATGCTTCCACTGAGGGACATTATCATTAGATTTCACAGATGTGACAATGATACTAATGTATATATTTCCCTCAACCCGAAAAACTTCACAACTCTCTAAGTTAGACTGTTATTAAAGTGTTTACAATCTTGCATGATTCAGATCATCCACTTCATCAATACTTCATCATTTCTGTAGAGTTGGACATTTCAATAAGGATTAAATGAGTGAGTTCAGCTTTGAGAATGAAAACTAACCTGTTTGTTTCTCAGTATCTTCATGTTTGACTCTGAATGCTTCTTCAGTCTTCATGTCTTCACTCTCCTCTTTAATAAACGCCATCTTTATAATAGTGCGTCTCTCAGTCGCTTCAGCAGGAGTTTTTCTGTGTTTAAGATCAGAATAATTAACAGAAAGATAATAAATCTAATCTAAATCTCTGAGTGCGTCACAATCAGCTCCCTAGTTCAGTAGTCAGCACACTAGTAAGGGAGTCAGTCAGAGTGAGAGTTAATTACCTTAAAATAATAAATAAATAAATTAAATTAATATAATAATAGAAAGCGAAGTATACAGAATCTTAATACTTTGTTTTTATTTATATTTGGCATTTAAAACTTAGATTATATTTAATGGCGATTCAGTTGCGATTGGTTTTTAAGTTGACATTAATAATGTTTGTTTGTTCTCTTTACATTTCAATAAATAAATAAATGTATGTTTGTCCATCAATAATTGCCAATGACCAAACAGTGTGTTTATGATGAACTGCTTCACAACATAAGGAGCAAAATGAGATGCATTTTCTGTTACTCATGTTCACACACAAAAACTAGAAACATTATAACGTTACATTCATTAATCATTAGCACAGTTCTGAACAGACTGCATTGATTTAAACACTTTAAATGATTAAAAATCACAAACCTTTCTTCAGAAGAATCACAGATGCAGGAATGTGGCGCAGACTTATGACATCATGTCGCCACACCAAAATAAAAGTCCTGTTCATGCATCAAAATAATAGTAATTCACAAACAGTCAAAACATTCAAATGATCAGATAATGGATTAATGTAAAGGATAAATCACAGATTTCCAAAGCTATTAATACCACTGAGATTTTTTCAAAAGCTACTAGGTTATATTTAAATGTAAGCAAATGTGGAGTGATCGCAATTATAACACCAACTACAGAGCATTTGTGATATTCTCAATCATGAATAAAGTCAAGTATATGATCTTCATATTACAAAGGACTGGATTCAAACTCATTAAGAATTTGTAAAAAAAAAAAAATACATTTGTGGTTGCAGAGAGATCTACTATTTAATTTATTAACTAAAACAGAATCCTTATCATGATGTATGTATCCATCTTATTCCATCTCAGTCTCTGCACAGAATGAAAGGGCAAATTAAAATGTTGACTGTATGAGGAAAAACAAAGTGCATTATATTCAAAGGGTTGTGACTGTAAAGGATTATTGATGATGGGTTTAAAGACTTAGTTTAACTGATTTTGACTGTCTGAATGAAAAAGTGCTTGTAGTACGTCAGAAATAGAATGGGGCATCAGTTTGACCCTGGGAATCCAATCTAAATAGCATTGTTTCATTTGACATTGACAGGTGTGGCATATCAAGATGCTGATTAGACAGCATGATTATTGCACAGGAAGGCCATGTATGTGCACAATACATTTCTAATTTAAATATGCTAGTGTATTTAAACAACATATATGCAAACATTCTGTATGCTAATATAGGATTTTCAGATGAATTTTGAACAGCTTGAATTTCAAATAAGTCTACACGGTATGCATTAAAACCTGGATCACGTGAATTAAGGATGACGTTTTTTTCTCTTTAAATATGTTCTGTGAACTTTTTAATAGTTCTAATAAATTTTCATTCGAATAAAATACATTTAATGAGAGCCTGATGAAAGCTAAATATCAGTCTTTTACATAAATTAGGTGTTAACGTTTTACAGATATTACTGTTGTTAAAAGGACAGCTAACTCCAATATCATCATTTACTCAACCTAATGTCACTCCAAACTTGTATGACTTTTTCTGTGGAACATGAGATCATATGAGATTTTTTTTTAAACTTTCTTTCATTCAGTAGAAGTCAAGAGTAACCAGCATTCTTCAAAATATATTCTTTAGTGTTTCACAGAAGTCAGTCAGTGATACCAGTTTGGAATGACATGAGAGTTGGTAAATGAAGACAGAATTTAATAG